GGAGCCCACACCAACCAATCATCGAGGTAGGCCAGAACCCAAACCCTAGCTACACACAGATGGGTCACCACAACCCAGGTAAGACACGTGAAAACACGAGGTGCCAGATTCAAACCAAAAGGAAAACAACGAAAGCAGTAAGCGTGGTGCCGCCCCACCACAAAAATTAACCAGTCCCTGAACCCCGGATGAATCAGACTTGCTAATACGCATCCCATGTACTGGGGACAGGGAGGAATTTTGGACTTTAGAATTCCCTACAGGAGGTATATTCATATATAGTGAACAAATTGATACCATATTGAGCGACGTAGGACGAGAATTAAGGTGAGAATCCCACAATGGGTAGACATTTTGGTGGTGTTGCACGCTCACAGGGTTTTCCTCGGCCGATTTGTGAGTTTAGTGCAGATGGCACGCCGGGCTATTGGACTTCCTATGTATATATCCCTACAGGGAATTCTATTGCAAACAAAAAGATACCAAAATTAACACCGTAAGACGAAAATTGAGGTGAGAAAACTTGAAAGAGTATACATATTTGAGTCTGGTCGGGTGCTCACGGCCAACGCATGGCGCACCTTGAGATAGTCTAGGAAGTGCACGGTGGGGACAGGAAAGTGTTAAGGTGCTCAAACTTGCCCCCAAAGTAAACATGCAGAATGGTAACTGCCATCCGACACTCAAGTGTGCAAGTCCAACAAAACCCATGCCATGCCCCCAGTGAAACAAAAGGGCAGTCTGCCAGCCAGGATGACTCCGGAACCTCCAAACGCACCCAATACGGGAGAGAAGAACTGAACTCAAATGACGACGCATCAGTGACAGAGGCAAAATCCCGGTCTCGCAGGAAGTAAGCCACAAGAGCCTCCCAAATATCCGTTGGCAAGATTCAAGAGGTAGAAAACCTCTGGAAAGAAGGAGTCAAGGAACCCAAGGGAACCTGGGGAGAAGCCTACCCCAAGAAATACTCATACAGGGAAGAGGATTAATAAAAACTCCTCTTGCAACAACAAGCCCCATAAAGAGGGCACCAAATCCCAAGTGGAATCAAAGGGGGGCTAAGGCCCCCCAGGTCAACTTCTCCCCAGCCCTGTGAGTCCCCAAACCAGGCCCACGATCTTGCCAGTAACACATCAGCCAAGAACTGAAGGGTGGATCACCAGCGCAAGGGTCTGGGGCATCCCCAGGATCCCTGGGGCATCGAGAGGAAACTAGATTGTTTCCTTCAAGGAGTGCCGGACCAACCGGGCTGTGGTGGGTATGTGGGTATCTTTCCTCAAGCTTTGACGGCTTTGGTTACATTTATTAAACAGATTACAAGTATGAAAACTTCCCAATCAACTGTTGTTATTGTTATAAACAGTCCCCTGGTGCTTCGGAGCTCATTAACTGTTTAATAATTGTAAACAAAGCTGCCAAAGACTAAGAAAAGATATACAGGTTCTTAAGTGCTTGTGTAACTGTTTCGTGAATCTGGTTCCTGGATAGCTCCTGGGAGTCAACGGGGCCACCCCCAGAAAATATGTCACTACTAAAATAACAGCAACATCTATATGGAAATATATGATTATGAGTTTTGTTTCTACTCAAGTGTTAAAGCAATGCTTTAATAAAAGAGCATACAAAATAATGAGAAGCATATTCAATGAAAGGGAACAGAAAGTTAGTGAGATACATATTATAATGAGTTCAAACATTAAAAAATAATTGATGATCAAGGTTTTGAATAAATTACTACTGCATCCAAAAAAAGAGAATACAAAATATGAAGTAAAAATAATGCATACAATTTCTCAAGTTGATTTGAATGTCATAACCTTAGTTAAGTCTCATGCAGTATATCACAATGACTGCATTATGCATACAATAGTTGAATAACTTTCTTTGCTGCAAATCAACATTCAAGCATTTGGGAAGAGTATGAAATAACTGCCCCTCTTCTGAGTACCAGTGGGATAAGGTCACCAGTTGTTGGCCAGTGGCAGTTGATAGCCACTCCTGGCCAGATATAACTGTCACCTAATGAGTGGCAGAAAACTTAAGCCAACGAAAGCATCAGAAAGTCTTCAAATGTATTATCAGTTTTATATGCACAAATATGCAAGATGCATAAACAAAAACAACAGGTTAAAACTTTTTAACATGTCAGGACATACAAATATTTCAGTCCCACATTTTCACAAAGCTGATTATGAGGGGTTAATGCTGGACCAGACATGAGTAGATTGGGCAACCTTACACACAAAAGAGTGGCAGTGTCCAATCATTATTCTTCAACCTTAGTGACTTATATTACTGCATATAGAATATTCCTGTACTGAACTTTTAAAAAAGATATCCTTAAAAGCATTTTAATACTGAACTATGCTAATCTAGTGTAAGCAGGGGGGCAACCTAACACTGGATTATTGCTCTGAGAACCGCAGGGCAAGACACGACACTGGTAAATAATGCAACTAAAATTGAAAATAGTTTGAAGACATGATATTACATAGAAAGGTGGGAATATTATACACACTATAACAAGCACATTCATACTTATAAAAATCTCTTGAAAAGGAGGGCAATATAACTTCTTGGATGACCAACAAAGGAGATGGCGAATCTCTTGAACCAAGTAAAAACTTCAGTCACCAAAATATTTTGGCTAATATCTCAAAAAACTAGCGTTGAATGTAATGAAACGCCATTTTCTGGGTGAGACCCGGAGGATCCCCGGAGCTATCCAGGCTGATATGCTAATGTCAGACTTTGGCATCAGTCATGTGTATGGAGTTCTGGGGGCCTACTGGGCACCACAAGCCAGGACCTGGCTCCCCTCATAAAGGCATGAGGAGCAATGGCCTATAGAAACCCCCCCGTGTGGTTGGAAGCATTCGATGTCTGCCATCAACCAGGTCAGGTAGCTTACCCAGAAAGGTAAGCTCCCCAAAACAAACCCCCAAAACAATTAAACTGGTGAAAATTTATACAAAAAGCCAAACTAGTGGACAGAACTTCCCAAACAGAAACGAGCATAACGTCACACGTTATGCTCGCACCACTGTCTGTGCAGCTCCCCCCAACCCCAGGAGAGAAAAAGGGGGAGCCCCAGACACCCACGCCAGCCATCCACACCCCAGTTCTGAGGCTGGATATCAAAACACGCGAAAAACCTCCGACCGGAAAAGAGGGTTGCGGGGTGCCTCCGGGTCTCACCCAGAAATTGCTGTTTCATTACATTCAACGTCGGTTTTCTGGGGGAAGCCCCGTTGGCTCCCTGAAGCTACTTATCTAAAGATGAAAACCAGAGGGACTTACCCGGGAGGGGGTTGCTGCTCACTCCTCAACTCGAAGTTGAGACAATTGGCTCCAACTGCCGACCAAAAGTGACACAGGCCCGACTAGGCCTAGGAACGTTCACCAAGTAACACACAGCCAGGACCCTGTTCGATCTCCAAAAACTCTGCGCCTGAATGTCAACCCAGGACATATTATCAAAAACAGCAGCAGGAGCAGCAAACTTATGAACGTCATAGGCACGGGGATACACTGCAGGCTGGCTAGACTGAATAACCCTGCGGACGACCTGGGAGACACGAACCCTGAAACAGGGAAGAAGTGGAACCAAATCAACCCAGAGCGCATCCCCGGCCACAGAGCCCGTGGCGCACAAATAATAGTTTAGAGCTGCAACCGGACACCACACATGATGCACCCCCGGCCTGACGAACGAAACATCAAAACCCAAGGACCTCCTCTGAAAGCAGCAGTTTCATTCTTCACCGGAAAAGAAGGAGACAACTGCAAACGAACAAACCTACCGCCAGGACCAAATGAGCAGAAACCACTGTGTCGGAGGAGAGCATGATGCTTCCCGACCCAACCCCCAGAAGCCAATGCCAACAAGAAAAGAGCCAGAGAGAAACAGTCCTGAACCAAAGGGGCCACTGCAAACTGAGGAGAAGAGAGATAAGAGAGCACCTTGTCAAGTGATCAGGAAGGCTCAAGCAGCGCATGAGCAGGCCAGAGGTGAAACAATGCACAAGATAGCTTGAGAAACGGCGCAGAAGTAACATCAATATCGAAAGCTAGCTGCAGCAGTCCCACCAGCGTCGCACGACAGGAGGAGACAGTATTCGGCATAAGACGACGGTCCTGGAACACCCAAGAAAGAAAGAACAAGACAACCTTGACTGACAGCCACCACACACAAGGCAAAGTGCTGCAACAATCATTGGAGCCAATGTACACGACCTCTGCCTATAGCATCAGACTCAGAACTAGGGTTTGGATTGCTGACGTGGGAGGGGGGGGGGGGAAACTGTGCAGACAGCAGCGTGGCGACGTGTGACGTCATGCTCGTTTGCTCATTTCTGTTTGGGGAGATCTGTCCACTAGCTTTTTGTTGCAATTTTCTCCAAAATAGGGGGTTTGTTTCGGGGCACTTACCTTTCTGGGTGCCTGACTCGGTCGATGGCAGACATAGAATGCTTCCAACCACATGGGGGGTTTCTATAGGCCATTGCTCCTTGTGCCTCTCTGAGGGGGCCAGATTCTGGCTCGTGGTCTCCGGTAGGCCCAAAGAACTTCATACACATGACTGATGCCAAAGTCTGACATTAGCATATTAGCCTTGATAGCTCCGAGGAGCCGACGGAGCTCCTCCCAAAAAAAAGTTGCATCTTCAAACAAGACTGTAGTGCCATTATATAAACATTCTTTCAAATCATATCAGAGCTTATTTCAAAAGTTATTAAGTCTATCATATATTTTACTTGGAAACAAAAAATTACTTTAACTGCCGAAGGATTGACAATCTTACCTTAACTGAGAATCAGCCTTAATACAAGACCAGATTATTTCAATCAGAATACAGTACTCCTTCACAATAATATTATTATTTAACCAGTTAACTCAAAAGCATCTAAAATTCATATCACTTTTAAGCTTAAACATTAATAACACGAGAATATCAAGCCTGCAAGAATTCCTAGCCATTTAATGTTAATCCCCACCTAGTGTTGCCATCTGATTAAAATGACGACAAACACGTGCTTCACTTGGTGACAGTAGATCAAGACGGTGGAAGAGCGCTGTTGGTGGAAGTGGACGGACATTCCTACTTAATCTTTTGTGTGGCAAATCAGCATCAAGCCAAGCCACCACAAACACCCACCCACATGTTAGGGAACGACACCACCAGTAATGTAACTCATCCTGAAAACATACAAAGTTTAGTAGTTTGTATACCTTTTAACTCTTAGACAACAGCTTATGCCTTTTGACTATCTTGGTTAATTTTGGGGTGAATGCAGAATAAGTCATGACATTTTTCACTATAGAAAATTAGGTAAATTGGGTTTTGCTTATAAATCCCTATAATTACCGCACCAAGCATTGGCATCTCTCTGGAAAGTATTACCTAATAAAATTATATACTTTGCTGTTATACACAAAAATCATTAATTAGAAGAATTTTAGAGCATGTGGTATCACACACACAGAAATCACAATAGCGTGATGTATCAAATGAACAAATCCACAAGGGCCATGACGAGGATTTGAACCTGAGTCCGTGAGCATCCGTGTAATGAAGTGAGCGTCCATGTAATGAAGTGAGCGTCCGTGTAATGAAGTAAGGGTGAAGAGGTAGAATGGCCTATTGACATAGCTTGAGTGCAGGGGGGGAGTTGTGTAAAACCCTGGTTTGTGTCTCAGAGAGGCTACAGGATCCAAGTAAATTCAGTAGAATTTCTGGTTGCAATTCTTCTCCATGTCGTAGCTCAGTCGATTAAGGTAGCGTCTAGGATGCTCACGGACGCAGGTTTGAATCCTCGTCACGGGCCTTGTGGATTTGTTCATGTGGTATCATTTCACTCCAAAATAATTACACAAAATAAAAAGTTTGCGACCAATCATCAGTATTTTTCTTCATCCACCAATATTTATTTTGTTTTCCTTCAATCCTACATTAAAAAAACAGTGCAGAATGTAATGAAACGCCATTTTCTGGGTGAGCCCTGGAGGCTCCCTGAAGGCTCCCTGGAGCTTATTGGGCTAATGTATGTTATATCAGACCAGGACATTAGCTATGGAGTTCTGACCTACCAGGGACCAGTGCCAGAACCTGGCTCCTTCAGAGAGGTTTCAGGGGAGCAATGACCCTGGAAAACCCACCTGTGGTTGAGGGTTTTCCATATCTGCCATCGACCGGGGTTAGGTACCCAGAAAGGTAGGCATAACAAAACAAACCCCACATGGTAAGAAACTAACAACAAAAACCTAACAGAGAGGTAGAACTCACTTCAATCCCAAGGAAACAAGCAAACAAGCAAATGTCACACTCTACTGCCGTACTGCTCGTCCATGCGAGTGTGACGCAGGCCCTCACAGCGTCGGCTGCATAGCATTCCAGTTCAGAAGCTAAGCCTCAAACAACGCGAAAAACCGCCGACCAGTGGAAGAGAGGGTTGCCAGGGAGCTTCCGGGGCTCACCCAGAAAATGATGTTTCATGACATTCAACACTGGTTTTCTGTGGGGAGCCCCTACAGTTCCCTGGAGCTTCATACCCACAGATAATAAAAAAAAAGGGACCTACCCAGGAGGCGGCCGCCACAAACTCCTCACTGGGAAGTCAAAACAACTGGCCGCAACCTGCAACCCAATGCAACACAGGAGCACACATGCACCAAAGCAGACGGCCAGGACCCTGTCCGACCCCCAAAACCCCGAGCCCAAATAACAGCCCCAGGACATGTAGCCAAATGTGGTCACAATAGCAACAAAGCTCCTAACTTCACGGGCACAAGAATAGACCGCAGGCTGGCTAGGCTTAAGAACCCTGAGGAGGACCTGGGAGACCCGAGTCCAGGAATAAGGAACGAGGGAACCCGGATACCCCCAAACTGTGACCCCCAGACTTCCGGAGTCGAAGCTCGCTGAGAAAGGCCAAGAGCCGGAAGAGGATACTACACAAGATGCACCCCTGGCCTGACCAACCAAACAACAAAGACCGAAGGACCCCACCAAAGAGCAGCCACCTCGTCCTTCGCCAGAAAAGAAGGAGAGGGCAGCAAACAAATAAAACTGACCACCAGAACCAAGAGAGCAGAAACTCCAGCTCCAGAGGAGAGCATGAAGCTCCCCGACCCGACCTCCAGTGGCCAACGCCAACAAAAACAGAGCTTCGGAAAATCCTGAAACAAAGGGGCCACCACAAACCGAGGAGAAGAAAGACAGAAGAGCACCGAATCCAAGGACCAGGATGACTCGGGTGGCACAAGAGCAGGCCAGAGGTGAAACACAGCATAAGAAAGCGTACGAAACAGGGCAGAGGAGACATCCACTATAAACGCAAGCTGGAGCGGCTCTGCCAGTGCCGCATGATACGAGACGACAGTAGTGGACAGCAAATGACAGTCCTGAAAAAACTAAGAAAGAAGGACAAGACAACTCAATCCTAAAGGGAAGACAACCTACGAAGAGAGAAAATGGCGAAAGCCAGGAAACTGCATACTGTCGCCGAGACGAAGCTCCCTGGTGGAACACCAACGAAACCACCCGATCACCAAACAGATGGTGATTCCCCTCACGTCAAAAGACCAGACATGAAGGGCAGAGGAGAAGACCAAACCAGTCACGCACCAGACTGGTCTGACCCACGGAAAGAGGCGGAGCCGCAGGAAAAAAAAACCCAGGTTCGAACACCTAGCAAGCACCTGAAAACAAGGCTAGGCTGGTCCACAATGGGCTACGATGACTACTCTTTCTGGGAAGGACTCCAACCAAGCCAGAATCCGAAGCAACAGCGGGACCGGGTGGAAGAGGAACAGGAAACCCTACCTCGACCAGTCCTACCGAAAGGAGACCACTGCAAAAACCTGGTAGTTGGGGAAGAGCGCCACAGATATGGAGATGCCGTCACAAAAAAGGAACACCTCCAGGAGACTGTACGTCCGCCAGAGCCAACAGAACGAGTCGGTGTCGCTCAGTCCGTGGACAGAACAATGAACTGCGACAGGCCGTCTGCAAGGACGTCAAACACCCCGGATATGAACCGCACGGAGAACCAAGCCCCGAGAAGCCAGCAGACGAGCCACACGAAGGGACTAGCCCCAAAGGGGCAAGGACAAAAGGGAAGACTCGCAGGTCAGGCAAGGAACCACTGGGGAAACAGTCTGAATGGAGCTGGACAGTTGAAGAGGAAGCCAGCGATGCAAGGGCATCCAGAGAACGAACCCAACGATCACGAGAGTGGCAGAAGAGAGTCCCCGAAGGAACCAGAACAGACGCTGAAGCCAATCCCGACCCGGCGGGTAGACGAGCATGACGAAGTACAGACTCCCGCACAACTCTTGAGCAACCGGCGAGTGACTCGGGAACCCCCCCCCCCCTTCCCCAGAAACAGCCAAAGGCAGGATCGCAGCCGCAGCAACGCCGCTGGAGAGAGAGACAAGGAAGCGGTCCAGAGTCCCAAACAAGACCCAGCCAGGTCCGAAACAGGAACGTAACCAGATGGGACCTCCTCCAGGTCACCAGGAACCTGAATCCGGCGAACTGGGAAGAACCACACCCCTTGCAAGCAGACAAGCGGACCGACTGGGAGCCCATACTAGCCAGTCATCGAGTAGGCCAGAAACCCGAATCCCGATCAGACGCAGACAGGTCACCAAGACCCGGGAAAGACACGTAAATATGCAAGGGGCCAGATGAAAACTAAGGAAGTTTTCTTATGTTGAGATGAGGAAGGCAACGGAAGCGGCATGCCTGAAGCCAAATCACTAACTGTGCCAGTCCCTGAACCCTGGAGGATAGGAACGTGCCAAGAAGCATCCTAGAGGTCCAGGGACCTTGGAGGTCCAGGGTCCGGTCAACAGAAGCCAGACCAGAGACACATCAGTCAACTGAAAAGGGGCAAAGAATCCTGAGAGCAGACGGAACAAGTCCAGAAGAACCGCAGATCCGCAAAATCCCGTGTTAGCACTAGAACAGGCGAGAACCCCGGGAGTATGGGGTCAGATCGACCACGTCCAAACGCACCCACTCCAAGATGACATGACGAAGCGCAGGGGAAAAAGCCCGTCCCGCTAGCCGTGAACCCCCCAAAGGGGGAGGAGCGGCTTAAAGCCATCAGAGGCCGGAAGACAACCAAAAACGCCCACAAACTGTGGGACCAAGCGCGAATAAACAGAGCAAGCCACCATTCTCCCCCCCCCCATAGCCCCGTCAACAGCAAAGGGATTGGAGCCCCTTCCGAAAGAACATTTTTATATATACAGATGTACCTCGGTTTAAGAATTTAATCCATTACTGGAGACAGTTCGTAACCCGAAAACTCAAAAACTGAAGCTTATTTCCCCATAAGAAATAATGGGAAATGAATTAATCCGTTCCTGACTACCCAAAAACTTCACTTGAAAGTAAATTTTATACCTAATTCACCCAAATCTTCACTTCAAAAGTATGTTCGAGTTATTACTTACCCTTGCTGATGACTCCTGTTGGTGTATAGAAGATGGTAAGGAGGAGGGAGGAGAAGAGGTGTTACTGTTTGGAAGGGGAATCCCCTTCCATTATAACATCAGGTAGTGAAGATTTCTCTGGAGTGCACTCTCGGGCACGTTTTGCCTGCATACCATTAGCTCCTGGTTGTGGCTCACTGCTTGATTTTCTCACTTTTCTCACAAGGAAACGTTCCATTGAAGATTGTTTTCCTCTTCTTTGCAACACTTGTCTGTAGTGAGGCTTCACATTGCCATTAAAAAGATCAATGCAATGGCCTACTACAGCTTTATCTGGGGTGATTCTTTTCAGCAAAACTTTGCAGTCCGAACAAATCGGTCTCGTAACCCGAAAAGTTCGTAAACAGGGACGTTCGTAACCCGAGGTACCACTGTAAATGAAAATAAAAATAAATGAAGACAAGAAAGACGAGCAGCTGACTGGCGGGCAGAGCGCCGCGCCGGCCAGACAAAGAAGGCACCAAGAGAGTACAAAAGCCGCAATAAAATGCACTAAAACTCAACAACGAAAAAGAAGGCCCCCAGCATAACCACAACACGTGCCAAGACCCAAAAGATGGGTCTGGGGGTCTCCCCTTCTCCCTCCAGGGGAGGAGAGAGCTGCGCAGACCACGGCATATTGTGGCATCATACTTGTATGCTCATTTTTCTTTGTGGAGTTCTGTCCACTCGTTTGAGTAGTTGCAACCAGAACA